TGTCAGGGAACAGGGAATGCATATTGTAGCATTCTGCTGTGTTTGGCTGTTTGTCATGTGACTGCAGTGGAGGATTGTGGGTAGGATTCTTGTTTGTTGTTAAATCGTTTTGGGGAATTGGTTAACATTGTTCTTTCAGCAATTAGTCTGTTGTGTTACTGTAATTTGTGTGTTCATTATTTGTTAACTTGTGTTAAACCGTTCAGCAGACGTAACCATGAGTGAGAGTGGTAGGCCTAGTCATTAATAAGACCTGTGAGTTTCACTTTGTCTGTTTTGTTCATGAAGAAGAATCCAATAAAGGTTCTTCAAAACTGCCACCTGGTGGTGAAGTCTTGAACAACAACATGAGCTACACCTCTCTCTGTAGCTGTGAGGTGTCATGCTACAATATTGTGCTTGACGCATGTGCACTGTTATAAAGAACTTGTAAGATTTACTTGAAAAATCCTCGTAACAATTTGCACTAATGTCCTGATGCATCTCAGTAATCCAGGTAGAAAAAATCAAAAAGAAAAAAGCCAGAAACCGAAATCCTGTCCAGAGGACTGAACTTTGCAGTTGCACCAAGAAGAATTAATCTGGTTGAGATGGTCACAGTCACAGAATCAGCCATTCGCAACAACAAAATCCCAGAATTTGAAGCAGAACAACTTAGGAACAAAGTTTCAGCCTGTCTCAGCAATGCCAAACCACCACCTTCCAACATCAGTAGAGAAGAGAGAGATGCTCTCACCACCCTCAGCAAGGACAAGAACATCATCATCCTCCCAGCAGACGAAGGTGCACAGTGATTTTGAACCAGAAAGGCTAGCATGAGAAGGTTATGACACTCCTTAGTGACACGACCACATACGAGCCACTGAAAAGAGATCCAGGAAGTGGTTACAAGAAGAAGTTGATAGAGTGCCAGAAAAAGTTATAGCAGGACAAGGCTATTAACCACACTCTGTACCACACACTGTACCCAGGTGAGGCCACTCCTAGTCTGTATGGTTTACCCAAAATTCACAAACAGGATGTACCGGTAAGACCTATTGTTGGCATGATTAACTCTGTCACTTACAATGTTTCCAAATATCTTACGTCAGTACTTGGTCCATTAGTTGGCATTTCAGATAATCACATACAGAACACTATGGACTTTGTTAACAAGGTGAGGGATGTCATCAGACGGATGAAACTATGGTCTTTTTTGATGTCACGTCACTCTTTACGTGCGTTCCTGTTCATGAGGTGGTGGATGTGGTCTGTGTAAGACTAAATCAGACACCACTCAACAGAAGAACCACTCTTTCCACAGAACAACTGTGTCAACTTCTTGAACTGTGCCTGGAATCAACCTATTTCACACATGGGGGGCAATACTATAGGCAGAAACATGGGTGTACTATGGGCTCCCCAGTTTCCCCTATTGTTACAAACCTGTACATGGAGGAGGTGGAAAAGAAAGCTCTGATGTCCTTTACAGGGACACCACCGAGCCATTGGTTCAGGAATGTTGATGACACCTGGGTTAAAATTAAAGCCCAGGAAGTCCAACATTTCACTGATCACATCAACTCTGTAGGTAAATATATAAAGTTCACACAAGAGGATGTAAAAGATGGCAGGTTGGCGTTCCTGGATTGCCATGTCTCGGTTTCGGATGGAGGACGGTTAGAAACTGACGTGTATCGCAAACCCACCCATACAGACCAGTATTTGCGCTTTGATTCCCACCACCCACTGAAACACAAGTTAGGAGTCATCAGAACTCTGTCCCACAGAGCAGACAGTGTCCCTACAAACACAGGAGCCAGGGAGAAAGAGAAATCACACACACGACAGGCCCTGGAGCAGTGCGGTTATCCTAACTGGGCTTTTCTGAAAGCAGACAAGAAACCCAAACAGGATTCCAGCCAACAACCAGCTGAAAATGAAGACCCTAAGACCAGACCCAAACCAGTCGTCATTCCATATGTGGTGGGAGTTTCAGAGAAACTGAGATGTTTATTCTCTAAACATGACATCCCAGTGGCTTTCAAACCCCAAAACACGTTACGACAAAGATTAGTTCACCCCAAAGATCCAGTTCCCCGGCAAAAACAGAGTAATATAGTATATGCTGTTGTGTCAGGAGGACTGTGATCAGTCATTCATTGGGGAGACAAAACAGCCACTGTTCAAAAGAATGAGCCAGCACAGACGAGCTACTTCGTTGGGTCAGGACTCTGCACTTTACACTCATCTACAGGCCAGCGGTCACTCTTTCAGGGATGAAGATGTTCTCAGCCTATATAGAGATATGTTGGTTTAAGAGAGGAGTAAAGGAAGCCATTTCTGTGAAGAAGAACCGTCCACCATTAAACAGAGGTGGAGGCCTTCGTGTCCAGTTGTCCTCCTCCTACAACGCTGTTATTGCAAGTATGACTCAGCCCCCTGTGAGCAAAAGGTGTGAATCAGGGCCCCAACGATACCCAACACAAATAGGGAAAAAGAGACAAAAACAAGGGGGCGTTGAGCCCCGCCTGCATTCACTACATACACATGACACGACACCTAAGAACCACAGCATCCAAACCAGTAAGTCAGGTGATGGGGCACATGACCCTCTATGAACAATATAACTAATCAAGCCTATTGTTAAGCGATGGCCCTGTTTTGCATGTGACTAACCTCTTTGTCCACCATGTGGAGGCAGTGCTCTTAAGGCTGAGTTCACCTGAAACTCATCAGACTGAAGAAGTCTCTTGGACGAGAGATGAAACGTTTCACTAAAGAAGAACCCATCCAGAGGACCTCCTTATTTTTTCTTTTTGAATTTGCTCTAATGTCTGTTAAGCAATTTTAAATGCCACAAAGTCAAGTAATATTTACTCATCATTATCTAGTAAAAGTTATTAAGAATACAGTTAAAGATTTGTGAATAAATCAGGTAAATTTTACTTAATTTGATCAAGTACATTTTACAAGATTTAATTGAGCAAATTAAGTAAAATTGTGAACACGTGATGGAGTAAAGTGAACACGGTTTATTTTGCAAAGTGCTGATGCGTCTCAGTTTTTTATTCACAACTTCACCATCAACTGAGTTAATAAACAGCTAAATATGCCAATACTTAGCAATATTTCTCCACTTCATCCTTACAGTGGAAGGGACATGTATGATTAAACTATCCCATGTGAGACGTAACAGGTAACGTTTTCACATATTTTGATTCACAATTAAGTTGAGAAAGACACAACAGAAAAGACCCAACCTTTCCCATAATTCATGCAAGGCAAAACGGGCCATGATATAAAATGGATTAAAAAAGCATTATTACTGAGCTAAGTGCTAGCTGCATTGGTCTCCTTTACCTTTAATTTGACATGTCTCATTTACGTCTTTTACTTAGTTTTTATATTTTGTTTTCTAATACATATTTTGTCTTGAACTGATTATAACGTTATTTTAATGTTCTAATGCTTTTTGGAGTTATTATACAGCACTTTGGTCAACTCTGTTTTAAATTTACTTTATGAATAAAGCTGATTTGATAATTACTGTTGAATGCATAAATGAAGCAACAAGCAGTTTTACTGGAGCTTTGGGTTTTCTGATGTGTTATGATGTGTTGAAATCTGCTCAGTTACAGTATATAACAAAAGTTAGGTAAAAAAAGACATTTTAAATAAGCAAGCAGATGCCACTGAGAGGGTGAAGGAAATTTAGTAACTGATCAATTGAATATTAGAATCAGTATTGTATTTTATACTTTCTGATCATTTCAGTCCGTAAGGTTAAAGCTGACAGAGAGTTGGTGTGTTATCATTTGTTCTTTAGTCTAAACAAAATGAGTTACGTTCTGACATCTGACGTAAAAGGTAACACCTCCAGGGATGTAACCAAGAAGAAAGATACATTATAAGCTCAATTCAATGATTATAGTAAAGGAAGTTGTCAGTATGTTAGACAGTCTCTGCTTTGTTTTGGTTTAGCCCAAGGTCTGCAAAAGGCCTGTGCTGCTGAGTGCCGTATGAACCAGACTGGAGTCAGAAGACTGAGAATAAAGTTTTAAAGAAGAAATCCAGCTGATTCCTGTTTATTCGGACATACCATTTTTGAACAATGCATATTTTTCCTACAAGGCCATTAGTGTTTATTAATCAAAATCATCAGTCATTTTTCAAAGAGAGCATTTTGAAACCTTCAGTGTAGAAAACCCAAATGTGGAATACTGGTGAGCAGTGCAAGATAATTTTATCATTGTCCTAGTTTTAACTCACTTTCTATTCCCTCAGAGACAAGTGATCCAGCTCATATTTCTGTATCTTTTCCCTCCATCCTTAGACAGAATTGCAGTAGCTCTGTACTTAAGTTGTATCTGATAAGATACTCGCAACAAAATGAGTTCCTAAAGGCCTAAAATGCATGTTTTAATACAGTTATGGCACAAGTTTTATCATCTTGCATATTTGCACTCTTTGTTGAAAGGAAAGATTACCTGAGGTGCAGCAATAGTGAGTGCAACATTGACCAGTTCTTTGTCCTGGGATTTTTCTCGTGCCAGACGAACAGCATCCTTAATCTCCTTGAACTTCTCTGCAAACTAGAAAAAAATAAATAAATAACAACTGTTCGACTTGTATCTAGAAAAAACTGGCAAAAACTCAAATATAAAACAAAAAATATTTATTTATAAAGGAATACAGGGTCAAAACACACTAATACACGGAGGACGACAAACCTAACTTGCATGGAAAGCGTAATGAACCAACATGGAAGGTGAGACAGGTCCCAGAATGCTGTATAAAGGTGAGTAAATCAATTGGAACCACTTGGGGAAGACACAATGAGGATAAGGTGCACAGTGTCGTAAAGATTTGTCTATTGGTTTTTGATTTTTGACTGATTGGAAAAAAAGGTGAGTAGAAATATTTAATAAGTTTTGAACAGTGCTTATTTGTGCTGTATAGTCCTTGGACCAAGGGCAGATATTTAACCAATTGGTACCACAAAAGGGAACACCGTGTAACTATTTTTGTCTGAGTTGTATGAAAATACATGTCCATCTGTAGTGAATAGCTTAATTAAGATGTTTTTAGGTTACTTCTCCAAATATCAAAACCTAATTAATTTTTAATTTTTTAAACTTTATTATAATTTGTACACATATTGAAACCACTGATAAACTTACAATAATACCCCCCCCCCCCAAAAAAAAAAAAAATGGAATAAGTGGATTAAATAAAACCAAAAGAAGCAAAGGAAAACAAACTGACAAAAAAAAAAAAACAATATACTAAATCATTTGGGTGTGTCTACCATGACAATAACAAAAACAAGAACTGCGAAGCAGTTATGACCGGGGTCCAAGCCCGTTTATGCACGTCACCCTTGGCTCATTTCATTTCCAGCATACTGTCAACCTTGCGCAGCACAGAATAATAGCATGATGTGGAGTATTTATAATGTCTGTTTGAGGACCCAGTGCCTCAGCATCTCTTTAGATACTTTTCTCTCAGGTGCCCATAAGTGGTTCTCATCTATTCTGAATCGGTCAAATGTGTCTCAATTTTCGGTTCTAACCACACTTTTGGAACTACCTCAGCGTTGGTTCCATGTGAGTCAAGTATTAAACACAAGTGATTCTTCCTGGAGAGATGTGCAGGAGACAAGATAATAACCCCATAATAATAGATAATGGATAGATGGATGCTGTATTTTTGTATTTTTAAAGTTAGTTAGCTGTCTTGAATCAATTTGGCTCCAACAGATAGTACATCAATTGATTACTTTTTATAAGTTTCAGCAAAATTTCTCCACTGGTTCATGAGATATTTTGCTAGTAGACAGACACATACAGTACACGCATGTGCACATGAGATAAAAACAAACCTAAAAAGAACCAGCTTACACAGTTAAATTTAATAAATGGTATTTGTTACAAAAATGCCTTTTAGGAAAAAAAACTTAGACTGAGATGATGTTTAGTTTACCTGGTGCAACTGCTGTTCAGTGGAAAAACCCAGTCCATAGATGATGGTGGCCCTGCTGTCAGCCCACTGACCAAACTTCTGGGACGTCTTAGTGAATGTCATGCTAGGTGTGATGGTGCAGTTGATGATTGCCTGTCAACGCAGAGGCAATAAAAGGATATCACACACATACAGTAGATACACATAAAGACAACAAATGGTTCTGTGAACAAATCATGTTCTGCACTAATTTCACTGTCTTTACATCTGGTTAAGTTATTGTCCATGCCACTGAACAGTAAAAAGGCAGGCAATATTATTCTTTAACTATTCTTTTATGTCTGTGTATTTGTTTGTACCACTGTCTTTTGAATTACTGAACAAATTTCAGGAAATAATCATTCATGGTTCAGTCCATTTACAACGGTAAATGGAGTGTGAAAATTTGGGCAGCCTTGTTAATTTTCCTGATTTATCTTTATAAATTATGGATTGTTTGGATAAAAAAACAGTTAAATATATCATATAGGGGACAAACAGTGATATTTGAGAAGTGAAATGAAGTTTATATGATTTACAGAAAGTGTGCAATAATTGTTTAAACAAAATTAGGCAGGTGCATAAATTTGGGCACCATAAATAAAACCCTCATCTCAATATTTAGTAGATCCTCCTTTCACAGAAATAACATTCTCTAAACACTTCCTACAGCTTCTAATGTGAGTCTGGATTGTGGCTGAAGGTATTTTAGACCATTTTTCTTTATAAAACATCTCTAGTTCATTCAGGTTTGATGGTTTCTGAGAATGGACAGCTGTCTTTAAGTGACACCACAGATTTTCAATAATATTCAGATCTGGGGACCGAGGTGGCCATTCCAGAACGTTGTACTTGTTCCTCTGCATGAATGCCTTAGATTATGAGCCGTGTTTAGGGTGGTTGTCTTGTTGGAAGATGCAGCCCCGGCTTCAGCAGCTTCAGCTTTGTCACTGATTCCTGGACATTGGTCTCCAGAATCTGCTGATATTGATTGGAATCCATGCGTCCCTCAACTTTAACAAGATTCCCAGTCCCTGTACTGGCCACACAGCCCCACAGCATGATGGAACCACCACCACATTTTACTGTAGGTAGCAGGTGTTTTTTCTTGGAGTGCTGTCTTCTTTTTCCTCCATGTATAATGGCCCTTGTTCTGCCCAAATAACTCTATTTTAGTTTCATCAGTCCACAGCACCTCATTCCAAAATGAAGCTGAATTGTCCAAATGTGCTTTAGCATACCTCAAGCAGCTGTTTGTGATGTGGTGGAGAAAAGGCTTCCTCTGCATCACTCTCCCATACAGCATCTCCTTGTGTAAAGTGTGCTGAATAGTTGAACGATGCACAGTGACTTCATCAGCAGCAAGATGATGTTGTAGGTCTTTGGTGCTGGTCTGTGGGTTGACTCTTTTAATGCACTGTTTTTACTTATTTGCTTTCTATTCAGCACTTTGTGATATTCGTGTCTGTGAAAGGCGCTATATAAATAAACTTTACTTACTCATCAAAGACACGTTTGTTCTTTAAAAATACACTGGAACTGCATCTCAAATCAGGGGCTGCAGCTCATATAGGGCACATTTGTCGGTCTCTTACATCACTGCACTGCGCTGTAGGCTGTCCCAATTTCTAGGTGCCTACACATATGGACACAGTGCGACAGACGAAACTGTGGTGGGTCATTACATTTTTAGCTAAAAACATTTATTCTTGGGGAAAAGTATTATGCAAACGTGAAAAGTGAAAAATACAGAACAAATTTTGTCCCGTATTGAATCAATACAGGATGCTTTGTTGCAAATTTTCAAAATGTTCAATAGGAATGTCCCTTTTTGTTATTTTGGATTTTGCCTGCGCCCTGGGTCATTCTGCTACCAACCTCACAGAATGACTGGACCAAGCTCTCAGCCTGCAGGCAAGTTTTGTTTTTCTGGGCTGCCTTTAAATGAGAAGGGTTCTCCCTCCACCTTCCGCTGGGGATCTCCAGCGTCATCTGGCTACCCCGCGGACAGTTCTCCTCCCCCTTCCTTGGTGGAACTGGTCCCATCTCTGCCACCCTGGGAGAACCAGGTAACACACCACCTGATCAGCGGCTCGCTGATGATTCTCCGGTGGTCTCCCACTTCCTCGTCCCGAAAGCTACTCTGTTGGCAGATCGTGGATGTTCTGGTGAGACGTCCCAATCTGCTGCTCCTGCCTGGCCACCGGGTCCTGGTCAGTGGGTCCTGGCTGAGCATCTGAACGCCCACCCTCCCACCCCTTCTGTGTTTTCTGTGCCAGCTACTTTTGTTCCTGGGCCTTCGCTGCCTGAACAGGCTACTTCTGCCTGAGTCTTTTGAGTCCACCAAATCTTCTGAGTCCACCAAATCTTCTGAGTCCACCAAATCTTCTGAGTCCACCAAATCTTCTGAGTCCACCAAATCTTCTGAGTCCACCAAATCTTCTGAGTCCACCAAATCTTCTGAGTCCACCGAGGTTCCTGTTCCTGAGTCGGTGGTTCCAGTTCCTGAGTCGGTGGTCGATGGTTCCAGTTCCTGAGTTGGTGGTCCCAGTTTCTGAGTTGATGGTTCCAGTTCCTGAGTCGGCGAGTCCTGATCCTGAATCGGCAATCCTTGAGGTTTATGGGTCATCTGCCGGTGCCTCTTTGACTTCTGTGTTGGCTGCTGTCGCCTCCACGTCATCTGGGTCGTCAGCCATTGTCTCTTCATCCCCTCTGTTGCCTGTGTTTGCCATCACCTTGGCTCTGGCTCATCAACCTCTGCTGGCTCCTCATCACCTCCCGTCTCCTCCCTTGGCTCCACATCTGCTCCTGCGACTCCCTTGGGCCTGGAATGATCTCCAGGCTGCCATCAGGTTCCTCTTTCCCGCATCAGATGGTCTCCCGTCCCCTGGATCTCCTGTTCTGTGTTGGATGGTCTTCGGGCCGTCCTCCTGAACTCTTGTGTTTTGTCTTTGAGTCTGTCCTGTCATGCGTTCCTCGAGTTCTGTGCCTCTCCTTTTTCGACATCGGGAGCCGTCGTTAACGGGGAGGTACTGTCACAGTCTGTGTTTATGTTTTCCTAGTTTTTCTAGTGTTTCGATGTTCCCCTGTGTTTCTTTGCCCTGCTGCCCTCCCCATGCTCAGCTGTTTCCTCTTGTTTCCTCCAGGTGTTTCTCATTTGTCCTCATTAGTTGCCTTTATGTGTCTTGTCCTCAGTCTGTGTCCAATCATTGTACTGTTCTCAGTGTGGTTGTCCTCCGTGTTCCTCGTGTTCTCTCCTTGAAGCCTGTGGGTTTTCTGAGCAGCCTTCTTTTTTAATAACGCCTTTTTGTTAGTTTGGAATTTGCACGCGCCCTGGGTCATTCTTCTACCAACCTCACAGAATCTGACTGAAGTGAGGATGCTGAAGAGAATACTTTGCATCATGAACAACAGGCACCCACTTCATGACCTTGAGGTGTTTCATACGATTACCTTCATTTGTCGGCTGATAGCACCGAAGTGCAAGACTAAAGGATTCCGTAGGTCTTTCCTACCACCTGCCATCAAGCTCTGTAATACTAATAATACTAAATGTATGTCAGTACTAAATGCACCCTCTGTCGTTCTGTGTATTTTGATGCTCGTGGAGCAGAGGGAACGCAGCTGCTACAAAGCAGCATGTCTACGCATCCAGAACCCTACTGCTTTAGGCCTCACTGTTCTAAGTGCCTCCATTTTGTTAAATCTCCATTTTCATGGATAGCTGTAGCTGTAAGTTCTTGAGGTTGTGATCAATGGGCCTCATGCAAGAACATGTTCGTATTCTTATCCTAAATTTCTCTTACTTTTGTTCGTACAAAGGGTTCGTACGAACATGTCACGTCAGATTCAACAAACACTTCTATCTTCAGGAAAAGTGCGTAAACGAGCTGCGTAATTTACACCCGTTCTATCCAGCTGCACGTGCACGCGAGAGGAGATTAGCATAATTACCACCCCAAATACACCATATAAGGCTGTGATTCCTGCCTCAGATATCAGGAAATGTCCATTCATGAAAATGACAGCGAAAACTTAAAAGAAAAACTTTACGAGTTCAGAGATTGAAGTCCGTCTGTCAGAGATCCAGAAAAGAAAATCTGTCATTTTTAGCAGGTCAGCTG